GAGATTTTACTTCACTGAAATTTTGCTCTCTCTAATCTGAGAAGTTTTGGGGAAAAAAGTCTTTAGTGCCAAATTCAAGTTCTAATGCATGGTTGGCATATAAGCAGGAAAGTATGACCTTGACTTTGTCCCCTTTAGCTAGATAACAAATCCCTTAAAAACGTAACTGTAACATTATAACTATTTGTTAATTTTGTGTCTGATGCAGAGTAGACATTGAATAACTGCTAGTTTATAATTTTGATGAAGTGATAATAACATTCTACAGAGTGCCTATTTTATTCAACAAATGGCTTCTGGTGACTTAAGATAGTGGGCTCTGTGCTCTTCTCTGTAGACACAAAGATGAATAAGCATCTATTCTTCTGGGAGAAGCTTAAATTCAAGGGGAAGACAAGTGAAGCTTGATACATTGAGAATGTTACCAAAAATGAGCACAGTGATAATACAAGAAGGAAAGCTCATACCTGTCTTGAAGGAAAGTGGAGACCTGGGTCATATGAGTTGAGTCTTAATAAATGAGAAGGGGTTGGCATACAGGTAAGAAGGCAGGGGCAGTTTCAGATGAAGAAATAAAATGCACAAAATCAGGAAGGAGCATTATTTGGAGGCATTCTGTTAATTCAGATATGATTCAGTTATGGAAAGTATGTGTTGATAAAGTTGAAAAGGTAAGAAGAAGGCTTTGCATGTCAGGCTGCACACTTGGAATATATCGTGTAAAATTAATCTTGGAGTAGAATCACATGGCCAAGTGAGCTTGTGTTAGAGTCCTCACACTAACGACAGTATGGAAGACAGATTAGCATAGGAAAACCAGCTAAGTGGGAAAAAGCAAACTACAAAATGTTCTTGAAGAAACTGAGGTGTGAGAATCTTTATTCTGAGGCCCAACTCACGATGATGAACCAGATAAGAGTTGGATTTTTCAAATTTTGAATTTCTAGTCCATGATTTTCACATTCTCACAAGTAGATGATTGTCAAGAAGAATATAAATAGTAAATCAGGGGCTAAAAAGGAGCAGAATCATCCTTGTACAGTATTAGAGTAGCTTTTCATGGCAGTCCATCTAATGCACACAGAGAGAAGCCGTGGGAAGGAAAGAGGGAGATTGGAATAAAGCATCTTCAAGGCAAGGAATGGAGGTATCCACCAAATGCTAAGAAGAAGCAAGGAAGAATCCTAGCCTAGATCCTTTAAGAGAACACTTCAAGCTTCTAGCCTTCAGAATTTGAGACAATAATTTGTGTGGTTTAAAAAAGAATGAGAGGAAGGAAGGGAGGAAGGGAGGGCGAGAGGCAAGGAAGGAAGGAAAACATAGGCAAGTAAACGGACAGCACAGAGGTCAGCACAGGCCCCACGGGAGCTGAAGAGGGCAGCTTGGAAAAGCCAGAGAAGGCTTCCTGGGAGAGGTGGCCAAATGCCTAATGTTGGAGCTTGAGTAGGAATAAACTTAATGGGAAAGGTTGGAATGGAAGACCTATTCTTGGCTGAGATGAATACATGGGACCTTTGTGTTCCATGGGAAAATCATGCTCTTTAGAAACTAACTCAATTTCATTTCTAAATCTGAGTCAATCACCTACTATAAATGATGAAAATTTATTCACCTTTCTGCACCTCTGTTCGTTCACTTGTCATATGGAGGAAGGAACAAAAAAAAGTTCTAGATGAAAGAGGAGTCATATGCAAAAAACTCAAGAATGATAGAAGCCAAGGGGTAGTGACTGTCCAGAAAGTAGCAAGAATGTTTAATATAATATGTCTATATCCTCTTTGATTTAAACTAGATTCTTTATCATTGTAGTTGAACACATTTTTTGTGATCATTGATTTCTCTCCAACATTTTTAGAATGACATTGATAATACTTGTATAATTCTAAAAATAATGATATGAATTTTTCCTGGAGACATAAAAACAGTGAGGGCATATACAGCTAGAATGCTCCAATATTAATAAGATGCAATGAAATTTTACAGCGTACTTTCTGGTGACCAAAGGTCATTCCATTATATGTATGTTTATTACAGAAGCATATTTGGAAAAGCCCTGAGACTCAAATCAATTTCATTTACTTTTTATATTTTGAACATCTTATTTCAGTCCATATCCACACACACACAGGTAAATGCATGCTATTTATAATGCAGCAATGTCAACATATAACAGAAAAAAAAATGAGACCATGTAAAAGGGGATGTATTTCCCTAGATAAATTGTAGTGAACACCTGACTAAGGCAATCCTTTAATTATTTTTTTAAATTTTGTATTGGGGTAAAACTGATTAACATTACTGTGAGAGTTTCAGGTGAACGGCAGAGACTCAGCCGTACATACACATGTATCCATTCTCCCCCAAACTCCCCTCCCAGCCAGGCTGCCACATAACATTGAGTAGAGTTTCATGTGCTCCACAGTAGGCCCTTGTTGGTTATCCATTTTAAATATAGCAGTATGTACATGTCCATCCCAAACTCCCTAATTATCCCTTTCCCCCCATCCTTCCTCCTTGAGAATCATAAGTTCTTTCTCTTAATCTGTGAGTCTGTTTTATAAATAAGCTTATTTGTATAATTTATTTTTAGATTCCATATACACAGGAATGTCATAAGTTATTTCTCTTTCTGACTTCACTCAGCATGACAATTTCTAGGTCCACCTATGTTGCCACAAATGGGCTTATTCCATTCTTTTTAGTGGCTGAGTTCCATTGTGTATATGTGCCACATCTTCTTTACCAGCTCCTTTGTTGATGGACATCTAGGTTGCTGCCAAGCAGAATCCTTTTCTTGCTTGTTTTTCCATGTGTTAGAGTCAGAGCGTCTTCCCTCGGTCAGTTCCCCGTCTGAGGGCCTCTGCCCTCGCAGCGATCACCATTAAGTTAAGCACTTTTGGAATCTGAGGGCCTCTGCCCTCGCAGCGATCACCTTTATGTTAAGCGCTTTTGGAAGCAGAGGTAGGGACGGGAGACACGGAGGAGGAAAACGAAGGCAGAGGGTGAGGCCGATGAGTTAGGTCAAAGAGGCGTAAGAGCAGTGAACTTTCTGGGTCCAGGGCAGTGCCAGCCAAGAAGGTGACAGAAACCTCGTGACACCGGAGTAGCTGGGAGAAGACACGTGTCTCTTTGCTCATGGACCAGGCAGTGGCACATGATGCTAAGAGGAAGGTGATGAACGGACTTCTGGTCCCAGCCGTTTCCATCTCTCCCCAGCGCCTCTTGTAAGACTGCAAGTCAGCCTTTGACGGTGGCAAGCTTATTTCTGAAAAGTCTTGAATTGAGTTTAGCCTCCTAGGAGCTGTGTGAAGACGAGTTAGCAAGAGGGTTCAGGATATCTTCTTAGGGTGCTTTGGAAGGCACTGACTGCATCAAAACCTCCTAAGAAAGTGAGATCAGTATGTGCATGGCTCTAAGAAATGGTCGAGGTGTTTTAGACCTAAATTGGAGTGTTGGGGAGGTTTCAGAATAAATACTTTGACAGGGTCCCAGTTGAGATGATTAACATCTAAGATGGATGGTTCCTAGGCAAGTGTTAGTGAAGATATATAAAACGGAAGTGATTTCTAAAACAGATTGATGTGTGCAGAATGTGTCTATGAATGACCCACTCAGTGGAATGGTAAGAATCCCAAATAACTACAAGGGATGTGTGCCTTACTACAATGCCTGACACATAAATACCACATGCTGATTTACTTTATTGGGTTGAATTATATATTATATTATATATTATGTAAAATTTATGTTATATTATTATATATATTTATATACTATATAGAAAATTTATGCATTATATAGTAGGAACATATTTATATATTACATTGCATTAAATAGTATTAAAAACCCAAGTTCTTAGAAAGAGCTTGAAAGAGCTAGCTAGAGAACAGCCCACTAGTTTATAAGGGGGTCCCTTTCCCTACCACGGGCCAGCCCCTTGCCCCAGGTGAAGGCGCCTCTCAGCATCAAATATGCTATTTCTAGGGAGCTATTAGGGCTTCCTACGTGCTGCCTGGTGGCTCAGAAGGTAAAGAATCTGCATACAATGCAGGAGATGCAGGTTCGATTCCTGGGTCAGGAAGATCCCCTGGGGAAGGGAATGGCAACCCACTCCAGTATTCTTGCCTGGAGAATTCCTTGCACAGCGGAGCCTGTAGGACTGCAGTCCATGGGGTCGCAAAGAGCTGGCCATGACTGAGTGACCAACATTTCACTTTCATATAGTCACCAGAGTCCTCTTGGCCTTCGCTGGTGTCTCAGATGGTAAAGAATATGCTTGCAACGCAGGAGACCTGAGTTTGATCCCTGAGAGAGAATGGCTACCCACTCCAGAATTCTTGCCGGGAAAATCCCATGGACAGAGGAGTCCGGCAGGCCACAGTCTATAAGGTCTCAAAGAGTCAGACAGGACTGGGCGACTTTCACTCTCAGGGAGCTATGATATATTTTTAAATGAGGAAATAAGCCCCCAAGTTGAAAATCTATGATAATCAGAACCAAAGGTAGAGGAGGAATCAGGACTAACTGTAGGGAGCGTCTTCTGTTGGCTGACCCTGCTGGGCAAAGACCTCACTGCTCCAGACTGCTCTCACCTACTCTGCCTTAGATTACAATCTTGTTCCACATTACATATTCTGAAATTCTACGAAGGCACTTAGGAAGAAAAGAAGTTCTAGGAAGTGGTAGAAACTGAAGAGGGTGTGGACAACCTTATTAAAGTTCTCACAATCAAATTATTTTGGTTTCTGACAACACACAGTCACACACACACAGACACACACACACATACACACGCATATTTCGTCTATACTCAGGAGTTTTAATATGGACCGGGATGCTGCAGTCATGACATATATAGTGCCTTTAAAAAATGTAAATGATAAAAGGATTATGGCCTAGGTCACTAGAAAACAGTCATGACCAATTAAAAGGCAATCTGATTATTTTTTACACTATATAGGTCTACTTTTAATTCTAATTTCTAATATTTTTCTTTCAAGGAAGCTTACAAGTTCGCTACCAGCTAAACAAGGAAGAAACCCATGTATTCACCATCAATACAGAGAACTTTGCCAACAGAAGACTGCATCACTTGAAGATTATCAGAGAGGGCAGAGGGCTTACCATTCAGGTACCTCACTTCCCTTCTTCTCATTCCAGCAAATGTACCTTGGGTGCTCAATACAAGTTTTCTGAATTTCGCCCCCAAGCCAAGTGAGCAACCGAGTTCTGGGCATGTATACTAATCACACTCAGCCCCAGCCTTTGGAGAACTAGAATAGTGGTCCTCAGGGCACAGCCTGCTTTCCATCAGCATCTCTTGGGACCTTGTAAGAAATGCTAATTCTTGGGTCCTAGGTCAGATCTACTTAATCTGAAGCCTTTTTTCAGGAAAGGGGCAGCAGGTGATACTGCTGCATGTTCAGCTTTGACAGCCTCTGAACTGCAGAATAATGAGGAAGGCAAGAAAGGAAGAAATCACAAGGGACCAGCAAGGACTGTGGGAGGAGTGTGCAGAGGTGATGCTAGAGCGTGGAGGAGGGCACCCACCTCATCTGGGCATCCGTTCAGCTCACCCTGAACAGGGAGGGGCTGTGAGGATCACGGACGCTCCACTCAGTCAAAAACGAGTGTAACTTACAGACAGCCTGCCCTGTCTGCAGGCTCCTAACTGACAAACACACACAGATACACACAGGCTCACCTGTTGCGGATCCCTCTCAGCTCTGCTCAGGCCTCCTGGGTGCATCCTTGCCCTCCCAGAGCTCTTGAATACACTAGAGTCTGCTTTGCCTGGAATCCAGGTGTTCATGTATCTTCATTGCTGCCTGTTACTTGTTCTTCCTTGGAACACCACTCAAAACTTGACTCAGGGACCCCATCTCCAGTTGCCTTATGTAATAGAGCAACCCAACTCCTTGACTTCAATCCTAAACCACTTAAATGCATCTAGCAATCAACACAACTTATCTATGTATTTAATAGATAAGTCCCTTCTCTCTCCTCTAGAATGTAAGCTTCATGAAGACAGGGATTCTTGTTTGTTTACATTACCATGGGATCCCCTGTTTGTCAAGCAGTGCCTCACATACAGAAGGCCTTTAGTAAATATTTTTGAACTAAATAAATTAATCCCACATAGCTTGTATGTGCTAAGTTGCTTCAGTTGTTTCTGACTTTTTGCAACCCCTATGGACCATAACCATAATCCCATGGCTCCTCTGTCCATGGGATTCTCCAGGCAAGCACACTGGAGTGGGTTGCCCTTTCTTTCTCGGCTTGTATGGAGAAGATTAGATTGGACCTGTGGAGAGGGGAAGAGAAACCACTGGATTTTAGGCAGGGGAAGTAGCATGGGTAGATTTCCATTTCCAGCGGCTCACTGTGATCTCTCCTTGGAAATACACATTTGGGAGTGATGTGATATGGGACAGAGACCAGACTGGAAGCAAAGATGAGGACCTCAACTAGTGTAGTGGGGAAGTCAGGGACAGAAGGACTCAAGAAAGATCTGGAGGGAACCTTGGTAACCTTTGGTAACCTTGGGTGACCCTCTGGATATGGGTGATGAGTCAAGACTCAAGTCAAGACTGACTGTTCATTTTCTTGATTGGGTGGAAGTTCAGGAATAATTGGCAAATATAGGATACAAATCACAATCCTTGAGTGATTATAATTTAATAGCATTGACTGTAGCACTGACTCTTAAAATAAGTGGTAAAGGTCTTTGGATTGAGGTCAGACTAGAGGATAGAGATGAGATATGATTTCTTATTGGAAGGTGTCTGAGTGAGGCTGTGGTGAGAAACCCGGGGTGCATGTTGGTGGACATGTATAAATGACTCTTTCTCTGTTTCTATTTCCTGTCGTCTTTTCCATCAATGAAAACAGAAATAGGGAGGTGAGAGAACAATGGGTTATTCCCTCTTCTTCTCCATCTAGATTTCCCACCAGCTAAATTAAGAGTCAGTGATAAGCACAAGCAGTGGAAGATGTACCATTTCAAAAGTGTAAAAGTAGCAGAAAGAAATGGAGGCAGAGATCTATTCTGTTTTTTAAATTTACATCAATTTGTTAAAACAGTCACACAACATAGTTGTCGCTGTGACACCCCCACTCCTCCTCACCTTATTTCTTCTCCTTCCTCCCCATTTAGAAATGTACTAGAAAATTCCCTGGCCTTCCAGTGCTTAGGACTCCAGGCTTTCACTGCCAAGGGCATGGGTTCAATCCCTGGTCAGGGAACTATAACCCCACATGGCTCTGGGTAGCCAAATTAAAACAGTAACAAAACCCCCAAACAAACAAAAGCAATGGAAGGGAAAAAAAAAGAACAAACAGTTTACTAAAAACAGAAAAGGATAAGCTACTGCCTGGTGTCAGGCATTATTCAGAAGCAGTTATAAGGAGAAGGTAGATGGTTATCAGTAAGCTCAGCCAGCCAGAGGCCTCCAGTGGGTAAGAATACATTCTCCTACCACCTCAGGACCTTGAGTTGTTGAACCTTCTCCTCTCTGCTCTATGTCACTTTGGAAGGAATCCATAGGGACTGGGCTACAGCCAGGAGTAAGAAACCCTGGTAATGATTTGAGAATTATAATTTGACCAGTGGTTTTTTTTTTTTTTTTTTT